AGCGAAAGAATGCTTTGTATCCCATCTTGGAGTGGTCCAAGGTTCATTCTTGTTTACTCTAGTTTTTAGCTCAAATACACATGCGGATTGTGCAGAAGAGCCCAATATAAGCGTTAAATTCTCTGACGACTTGGCGATCATCATAACTATCGAAACATTGAAAGATATGAACGATTATCACGCTGCAATGAAGAGGATAAAGTAGTCTGCTTCTGATCTCGCTGTCATTTTGAAATCCGCTGAATGTTGATTCATAATGTAGGGCTCCCGTTATGTGAATTATAAACTTCTACTCACATGTACATAACAGTGAAAAGTGAAAATGGACAGAGGAAAAATATGGTTAAAGATCTGGGCGTCATGGATTCTTCAGACTTCAGATGACATGCTGGCATCTCAGTAGTCTCAGGATGGTTTGCAGAATGAACTGCATCAAAGGTTCAATCAGCTAAAAAATACCGCAGAACGTTTTACTGAAGTTTCTGAAAGTTCGTATGCTATCGTTGGTCAATTGTGCTGTGACAGTAGTTTTTACAGCAAATGGTAGAATGGACTTGTTTCTCATAGGCCGACCATCCTCGCTGTATCACGCAGGGGTCACATGAATTTCGAAACACTGGGAAAGGGCGTCATTAACCACATAACATCAAGCGCTGCGCAACTTCCGCAAAGAATTCGTAAATGATAGCTCGCAACCGCTCGTTGTCACGATGCCCATGGAAACTAACAAAACGGGCCGAGCACATTCACAGATACAGTGATAAGAGTTTTGCAGAGAATTGACCGTTTAGTTCATATGACGTTGTTTAATAGACCGTTGTAAAGTTAAACGTAAACCATTGTTATATGACCCGTGCTTAAAGACGTCTCTTTTTAATCAATCAGTAAAGTTGATGATACTGATATTAATGCGCAGTGCAAAAAAACAATGATCAATCGGATGGTTGACTAACTCAGATGTTTTGGTCCCTGTCTCACGAGCCTCCTTCAAGATAAAAAGTTGGTAGAGTTTGGAAGGTTTTTTTGTTGTCGGCATCGGCTGGTAGATTTCAAGCCCGTAATGTTGGTTAATTGGTTTCTGGGCGACATGGCCCATCGAGTCCGCGCACAGTTCATATCTTTTATCACGGTTAAACTATCGCAGGATTGGATGATCAGTGTCTGTTTGACGCGAATTTGCAGCCAATGCTTTTCTTTGCCGATACATTCAGACCGTCAGGGTGCGTGTCCTTATGCGCATGATATATTCCGACTTAAACTTTTTTGGCTTATTATGAATGTATTTATTATTCTAGTTTTTCTTACCTTAATAATAAATTAGCAGCAGGTAGCTTTTGCTCTCAAAGAATAACATGCGTTTCTGTTTCAGGTTGGGGACCGGTGCATGGCGGTGTGGTCGAAAAATAATCAACTATATGAAGCCGTTATCGACGGCATTTCGGAGGGAAAGGCTGCCGTCACTTTTGTCGGTAACGTCAGTTCTATAGCTGTGTTTTTACTTATCGTCGATGCGGACTTTTCTAGGCTATAACGTGACCGAAATCAACAAACTCTACCAGCTGAGAATTTGCGAACAAACTCAGCCTAAAAAGTATCTTTGGGATACAAAACCAAAAGCGAAGTCTCAGTGGCAAGTAGAAAAAGAACGGCGTAGGAAAAAGGCTCTAAAAAAATTCCAGCGTCTTAAACAAATCGAAGAAGACAAAGAAGCTGAAAAGAACAAATGGAAAGAGTTTACCGCCAAAGCC